GAAGGAAGGAAGGAAGGAAGGAAGGAAGGAAGGAAGGAAGGAAGGAAGATATGAGAGAAAGCAAACAAGCACAGGGTGACATGGATAAGAGAAAGAAGAAAGGAATGACATTATTCTGAGACTGAACACACGTGACAAGTCCAGCTTCTAAACAATCATCTTCAGCCTTTGAAATGTGGACAGAGTTGCATGAACAGACATAAGAAGACAAGTGAGGTGGTAATCTCAAGCCTGGCCTACATAAGAGAAGGAAGGAAGGAAGGAAAAAAGGAAGGAAGGAAGGAAAGAAGGAAGGAAGGAAAAGCAAGGAAGGAAGGTTAGAGGATGGAAAGAAGGGGAAAGAGAGGTAAAAAGGAGGGATAGAAGAAGGTGAGAGAGAGGGAGGGATGGAGGAAAGAGGAACAGCAAAAATAAGAAAAAGTATCTTTGAAGGTGAAAAAGAACAGCAAAACTGAGAGGTGGACAAGGTGTCTATGGTCCAGAAGCTCCAGCACTGACAGTGGCGTCCTGTTGTTGGAAGAGAAGCCTAGGGAAGGAGCAGAGCACATCCTGCTCTTGATCAACAGGAAAGATTACACAAAGAAGACTGTCTCCACAGAGATGGAGTCATGTGGAGGACAGCAGATTTTCTACACTGTGATGATCTGTCAGGGTCCTCTTTAAGGACGGGAACTTCAGCCTGTACTGCACATTCAAATGACTCCTGGGACTCCTGTTTTCTCCTTCTGCTGGATTCTTTCCTCATAGTCCTAGAGGGCAAAGACACATTCTGGAACATGACCCCAAAGAATTTACATACTCACCCAAATTTATGAGTATATATAAGAATGTGTATTTCAGGTCAAAAGGTTTTAGTATTTTTCAAATTGGGTCTTAGACTAATGAATGAGCCACTAGAATTTAAATAAGTCTCTAGATATATATGTATTTATTTATTGAGACAGGCTCTATCTCTGTAGTCCATGCTTGCCTTGAACTTGATGTGTACACCAGGCTAGCCTCAAACTCATAGATACAACTGCTTCTGCCCCCCAAGTACTGGGAATACAGTCACGCATTACCATGCCTTGCCTAGACTTTTAGATGTCATAATCAAAATAGTGCTTTTTCTCTACATACACCAAAGCCCATGACTATAAAAGCTGATGCTGCAAAGGATACACAGTCATGGGCTGAGGACTAGATTTTACCAGCAACATGTTTGAATCGAGATGTGGTGACACATGTCTGTTAGCCCAGAACATGGGATGTGGAGCCAGGGGGATCAGGAGTTCAAGGGCAGAAACCACAGCATTAGATTGTATTTTTTTTTTTAAGCAGTTTTAAGGGTTCTAATTGTTATGCTAACAGATTAAAACCATATCCATACACATCACTAAAGTCAAATCCTGTCCACTCACAAGCTACATTCAGAATGAGGAAGGCTTCTCCTTGGTCTTGTTTATCCCTGAAGAAGCACCCATACACCCCTTCATCAAATGCTCTGATGTGGTGTATCTTTAGAGCAACGTGCCCCAAAGTGATGTTGTCCTGCACTAGGATCACCCGCCCTTGATACTCGATCATCTGCTCTTCCTGCAGCTCCTGGCCTTCACGGTACACCATCACCGCAGGCGAGAAAGTATTCCGGAACCAGCGCAGCTCCATGTGCTCAGCACTCACACTGGGTGAGAGGTGACAAGGGAGCTGTGCGTCTTCACCCACTGAGGCCAGGATGGGCTCCAGGGGTCCAAGGATTTGAAAGTGACCTGCAGAAAACCAAGCAGCACCAGTCAGTATGGAGATAGGAACACCATACTGACAGGAAGCCAAAGCAAACCCCCTCAAACTACTTTTATTCCTAGTCTCATGGTCCACCTGGGTCCTGTGAGGATGGGTGGGAAATGGCACTGTGAACCTTTGCATTGGTAGAGACACGTTAACCCAGCAGTCAGTGGAAATGGGT